GGCAGAGGCTTGTCACCATTACTCAGGCGGCAGATGACAGCAGTTTGAATCAGGGCCGTAGTGATGGGGTGGGAAGAAAGAGTCAGACGGGGAATCTTCATAAATAAGGTGAATTGGTGACTGTCCAGGGATAAATGAGAGAAAGGCAGAGTCGTCAAGGTCCAGCATCCAGCCTGAGCAAGAGAGAGAGAGAGAGAGAGAACGCCAGCAGGAGTGAGCAGATGCATCAATGCCAAGTCCGATAATGCTGCTGGAGCAGAGGTGAGAGGCCAGACTAGAAAGAGGGTCTGGATGCCGTCCTCGTGGTGACAGCTCGGAATGAGAAATTGCTACCAAAGGCCCAGGAGAGTGGCTAAAAAGGAAAGGGGGGGTGAGGCCTCGTGAAAACTCTGGAGAATGGACACATTGCGGGGCTCTGCAAAGCACACTGGGAAGGCTTCTAAAGAGATTAGCACTGTGGGCAGAGTGAGGACTAGAGAGGAGATGCCGCTGACCACTGACCTGGAGAAGCAGTTCCATGAAACAGATGTGACTGTGAGCAAGCAGGTGATTTCATTTAGGAAATCAGCAGTCAACCAAATCTGTGTACCAGAGGCAAAGAAAGAGGAGGAGAGAGGAAGAACAAAGGGAATTGAGATCAAGATAAAGGAAGAGAAAGGGAAAGGAGAAAATGGGGAGAAAAGGTAAACACAGAGGTTTGCTGGGTTCTTAATGGTATGAGGGGAGCAGGCTTCAGACCCTAGCAGATAGGAAATAGGAGAGGTAGAGTCAGACATGGAATACGGGTGAAGAAGAGGAAAGGAACAAAATCAGATGAGATGAAGGAAAGGCCCAAGTGAGCGTACACCTTGAGAGGAACACAGCCCCATTTCCCACAGGAGCCTGCAGCCATGCGGACATGAGTAAATGACCAAAGAACGCTGTGTCTACTCAGGGGGAATTTTCACAGGCAGTAAGAAGAAAGCGGTACCCAACCACAACATGTCAAGGATGAGCCTTGGAAGCATTGTATTCTATGGAAAATGTTGTTTGTACACATTGCCTATTGTATAACTAAATTTATATGAAATATCTATGAGGTAGAAAGTTGCCCATAGCTGGTGGTTGGAGAAAAACTAGGATCGGGTGATACCAGTAAGGAACAGAACACATATTTTGAGGTGATGAAATGTCCTAAAACTTACTGTAATGATAATTACCCAGCACTGAATATAGTAAAAAATAAAAAAACTCTGAATTATATATTTCAATAGTATATATAGATGGATGATATCTCAATGAGGTGTTATTTTTTAAAGATGTCATTCACAATTTCTCACTCCAGTCATACTTCCTATCCAACTTGCCAGAAAGTATTATCAGCATTACCCTCAGATACGTCCCTCTTCAAAAAGCCTCTCAGTACTTCCACAGGCAGCAGGACAGCTGTGCTTATATACCGCCTGAATGGCCAAGTCTCCTAGCCATCTTCTCAGCATTCCTGCTGGTGTCATTCACCCAGTTCCAGAGTGGCATTTCCAAGAGGGGAATCACAGGGCCCACTGCAGTTGGCCATGAAAGGCCCCCATCATCCTTGGGGCAAGATCCTTGCTCATCCCTGTGAGCTGGTACAGCTTTGTCTGAGCTCCACATCTCATCCCTGGCTCTCTTAGGCTCTGCAACCCTGCTCCACAGACACTCCAGGCAAGTTCCTATCCTGGGGCCTTGTGTGTTTTCTTAGTCCATTCAGGCTGCTGGAGCTAAGTACCTCACAGTGGTAAGTACCTCACAGTACCTCACCAGTAAATGCCGCCAGTATCATGCTGACATAGCTCAAGGCCGAGGAATCTAAAATCAGTGTCTTCTCAGGTCCTTTTCCTCATAAATGATGCTTTCTATATGTCCTAACATGGCAGAAAGGAAGGCAGGGGCTTCTTTTATAGGGACAGCAGCTCCATCCACGAGTGCATCACACCTGCGACCAATCACGTCTACTACCTTCTAACACCATCTTCTTGGTGATTCCATCTCAACATACTAGCGTTGAGAAACACAGGCCTGCAGGCCACAGCATGTGTGTAGACCTGATATTTTCTTCCCACTGACATTCACATGGTTCACAAGCTCATCTCGTTGGGGTCTCTTCTTTCAGTCTCAGCCCTATTCTCTGTCTCTTTGCTTTTTGCTTCCTCATTGAACCTATCACAACTTACTTATTTCTATTGACTGCATACACATACACACAAACATACATGCAAGCACACATACAGACACCATAGCACACACATATATACATGCATGCACATACAGACACCATAGCACACACATATATACATGCATGCACATACAGACACCATAGCACACACATATATACATGCATGCACATACAGATACCATAGCACACACATATATACATGCATGCACATACAGATACCATAGCACACACATATATACATGCATGCACATACAGA